AAACCAAGAAGTTGAAGTTTGATTGACTGAAATTTATGTAAAATTGAACTCATCATACTCGAGTTATGAGTCATAAACTGGCAATGTCTCGAACATTGCAACAGTTTTGTCCCTCACTGTATATTAGATATCCGAATTTAACTTTTTAAAATTTATTTGACTAATTCAACCAGCTGTAGTTTTCTTTTTTTGGCAAACTTCTTCAAAAATCCATATTATGAAATGACGGAATTTCCACACTTTCATGCAAAGCTTATTATAATCATACTTTCAAGGGAATGTATAAGGAATGCCAATGTTTGTCCCAAGTCTTTCATGTATCATGCAGTTCATGGTTAATATGACCGAAGCTGGACAGTATTAATGCTTCAAGGAGACTAACTTGCCCGTTTGAAATATAGAATAGTTTGACTGCTCTGGGAATCGCAAGACTTTTTGTCAAACTTCAAGGAAGGCCTCAAAATAAATGTTCCATGAAAAACGTGTTTCAATTGAGCTTGCGTTACTCTGAACTTTTTATTACCTTGGAAGACAAGGTACGCTTTAATTTAATAATATTTAAGTTTCAACGGAAATCGTTTAAAAATTCGATGTCTCTACGGGCTCCGAAATTCGTCTCCTGTAGGAGTGTGACGTGTGCCGGGAAATGAAGAAATACATATTGAACCGACAAGAGGAATGGAATCAAGAACGACTGAAACTTAGAAACGATTTCAGAAGCAAGTTTCTGGGGAACCTCCAGGTCAGTATCATAGGCTATATTATTCACATGAAGGGTTAACAATTGAGCTAATCAGTAGCAACTGAGAGAAACAAAAATTCTGTGATTAAGATCTTTCATTACTGATGGATCAATTTTGACTTGGATAACAGTTTAATAACCTGAATTAAATAGAAGTAGGGGTTGAAGGGGTTGTCAATATCAAAGACAGAAAACGAAAGCACAATGAATAGGAAATCTTATGCAAGCCATCTTTGCGATCTGATCAGCGCAATCAAAAAGTGAGAAGTAATGCATGTGTAGCTCGGGGTAGTATTGCTAGTTATAATCTCACTCTGGAACATAACCTTGTCATATAAATGCAGCACACAATGGACCAGTCTTATTCATGAAAATTTATAGAAAATGAAATTAAATGAAGATGAAGAAAATGTGGAAGAGCATTCATGAAAATAATGTAATTTTACTTTACCATTCACAATACACCCCTCCCAACACAATGCACTACTTCTATGCCCAAGCCCTGTCTCCAATCATGTCTTGTTATTAAATGAAAACTCCAGAGTTTCAGTTGCTTAATCGGCATCCATTTAATGCAGGTAAACATTGGCAGCGGAAAGGAAAAACCCTTCACTAAGGCACAAAATGATTATCTTCAAAAGTATTACCGTGAAGCAGGTAAAAAACACTTTTCCCTACCTTCAGACGCCCACCTCAAAGATAATGATTACGACGAACTGGTAAAGAGCCTTCAGAAGGAGGAAATGAAGTCGACTGACAGAAAAGATGTGGATCTTCCCCCGATGTACATAGCAGTTACTACTGTTTTTCAAAAAGCAAAACAACTTTGCAGTGATGCTCCATCTTTGGTGGTTGCTGATTATGTCATCTCTGAAACATTCAATCGGAACGAGATATTCACAACAGCCATGAAGAATATGCCGGATGATGAGAGAAACAAACTTTTCAAAGTGAAACCGGAATTTATAAAAAGTGAGGAGTGCCGTGGCATCTTTTTGTCTTACCGAGGTAAATCGAAGGTATTCAACATATTCCTCCAGGTCAATACATCTCGTGCAGAAGAAGGTGAGCTTCAGGTCAATAGACGCATTACAGATTCAATTCATAGGTGCCATGATGACAGAACTGTGTTCCAGACAGTGTGCGACCTAGATGACACTGCAATGATTTTCACATTTCCCGCCTTTCCATTTATTGATAGGAATGATTTGCACAAATTCCGGATTTGTGAGTCGTGTCGAAAGAAAATTTTGACAAAAGACGATATCCTGAGTAAAAAGGCCCTTCAACGGTTTCTGAAAGAAAATGGAGTGAAAGAACTGCCTGACCCCGATGCGAAGGGCGATTGCAAGGTATTTCATGACATATTTTCCCTATTTGTTTGCGCATCTTCTTGCATTGAAATGCCGCGGAACCGGCAGGAGCATCGCGAAACATGTGGTGCCAGAATGGAGAAAACATTGTGCTTTTTGACACCAGAGCAGATTAAGATCATTACAAGCCATACAGGGAACCTGACAAAAAAAAAAGCATCATGGATCCTTCCCATGGCAGGAGGGTCCGGAACTGGAAAGACTATTATTGTGAAGGAGATAGCGAAGCGATTTGCAGAAGGAGATAAAGTACTATTAGTGAACCTAGCGGGTGGAGAGCTCACAAAGTACTTCCAAGAAGAATTCCATGGTGAGTATGAATCATCCACTTGACAATAAGTAAATAAAAGTTACATATAGGTGATTAATGAAAAATGCACGACCGTTTTTTTTATGGGAATAACACGGCTTCATACATTGGCTATACAATTGACATTGGACAGTTACAAGGTGTTGAGATGCGTGTCAATTTTTTTCAGCACCCTCGTCTAAGCCTCGCAACTCCCGTTAATGCAGTTAAGAGGTGGATTATTCCACCTAACGGGAATTGATTATCTTTGCTTAACCATCTCAGAATTCAATTAAATTCATCAAACGTACGGATTACTTTGGGAATAGCCAAGAAACTATGTTGGTCTTTACTTCAAGCGGAGACCGAGAAAGTAGAGTTTTAATTTAGTTATGGGGGCGTATCAAGACCCCCAACCCACAGGTGCTCCCTTCCCAACTACAAGGTCATTATGAAGTGAGCACCCTATTTTGATTAACCATAACTTTTCAAGGGACAGCTGATACCTGACAGGAAAATGAGTTTAATAAATTTTCGAAAATGCAGCAAGATGGCATTTCATGTCGACAGAGGGCACTGTAGTCGACCACAGCGCCTCCATTCTACGTTCCATTCCCTTTCCTGGGTAGGAAAAAAACCTTGAGCCCACGAGCTTCTTAACCCAAAATCAATTCAAAAGATTACATGGTGAGTAGTAACTTGTCTCCATGAAACTCATCAATTTGCACTGTAATATGTTGGCTATCGTTACAGTAGTTACAGCGTTTTTACTTCTGCCTAAAATGTCGTGGCCACCCTGTATTTTGTGAAAATTCAGCATAGAATCAACTTGGATGCAAGGATGCAAAGAGGACTCTGGCGATCAGCTTCTGTGGTGAACTGATCAAGCATGATCCCTACCCTCGCTACCTGGGTATCACACTGGATCGGACTCTCACCTACCAAAAATACCTCAAACAGGCGAGCAACAAAACGAAGAGCCGCGTCAACATCATCCACAAGCTAGATGAAACAAGATGCCATGCCCGAACCATCCAAACAGCGACTATGGCTTTGGTGTACTCCACGGCCGCGTACTCACCAGTGTGGGCCCGAAACTCGCACACCCACCTGGTCGACACGTAGCTCCATGCGCGCTATCAGCGAAACCGTCAAATCGACCCCACTGCCTTGGCTTCCTGTACTCGCCAACACGGCTCTGCCACCCATCAGGCGCGATGAGGCTACTACGCGCACGCCTTAAGTGCCGCAGACCATTCTGGCCTGCAGGTGAAGCACTCCGGTCCACCAGTACCGGACCGGATGAACATTGGAGAACACTATGGAACGACGCTGAGGCAAAGAACAAGAGCCCCATCTGACCCTACATCCAAGCCTCATGGTTTCTGGCTTCGACGCAAACATTGGAGCGCCATTAACCATATTAGACCTTCACACGGTAGATGTGCAGATGTTTTGCACAAATGGCAGTTTAAAAATTCACCACCACACTGTTTACGGATTGAATTGGTCCCCCCTCCCCAAGGAGCGCCTCCATCAAGTACAGACAGGACACCTTGCGTATGGAAGGTGAAGTATTAATAGATCCATCCAACAACCATGCGGAGCAGCAGGGTTGACATATACAGGCTCGTCTGGAAAGCTTGTTTTCTCCGTTCTCCGCAGTACCAATTCAATCCGAAAACAGTGTATGTTAATGCAGCGAAATTCAAACCACGGAGCAAATGGTCAACGACTGCCCCATATACTTCTTCCGTGGTGGTACTGCCGAATTACATCATGCAACACTGGAAGCCATCAACTGGATCTCAACACTCCTTTTATCTTATAGTTTATTCATCACAGTATTACCCTACAAAAATGCTATTTTCCATACGAAAGAAGAAGAAGCATGTCTTCCCTGTAGGGCAATTTCCGACCAACCGCGCTGGCCAATCCCGTGCTTCAGCATCCATCCGATTCATTGGACTTTCCTCCCTGTGATTTCTTCTCTTTCCATAAAGCTAATAGATGCGCTGAAAATAAAGAGATTTGAATGAGAGAAGAACATTATCAAACCCTACCAAATCACGAATCCATGGTGGAGGACAAAACCATCGTGTCCATCCCGCAGCACCCAATGAGAGACAACCTCGCTGATCCACCGCTCATCGAAGAAGTCCAACGGGCCATGAGACAGATGAAAAACAACAAAGCATCTGGTCCTGATGGCTTCCGGGCCGAAATCTTCAAAGCCAGAAGAGAGCCACTGACCCGCAAGCTTCACGCGCTATTCCTCGGAATCTGGAACGATGAGGGAATCCCTGCAGACCTCAGGAATGCGACAATCGTCACCATCTTCAAGAAGGAAGATTAGCCTGTTTGCAGAAATTATCGTGGCATTGCCTTGCTCTCCAGTGCTGGGAAGATCCTTACGGAATTCTGCTAAACCAACCCCTCCCTCTTGCTGAAAGGTCCTACCAAAATCACAGTGCGGCTTCAGACCATCACGAAACATTACAGACATGATTTTCGTGTCCCGACAGATACAGGAGAAGTGCCGCGAACAACATCGAGAGCTATATATGGCCTTCATTGACTTAATTAAAGCCTTTGACTCCATCAACAGCGAGGTCTTTTGGAAGGTCATAGCTATCTTTGACTGCTCACGGAAATTCATCGCCATCCTCAGACTTCTCCATGCTCAGATGACTGTCACCTTCCTATGCAACGGCTCCGAGACGGAAACCTTCGTCATTCGAACCGGTGTCAAGCAAGGGTGCATGATCGCCCCTTCACTCTTCTCCATCTTTCTTGCCGTCATATTGATACTCATTCGCGATCGTTTTCCACCTGGAATCGATATCGAGTACCGGATGGACGAAAAGCTTTTCAATCTCTCAAGACTCAGCGCCAAAACCAAAGTGACATCGACCACGATCGTTGACCTTCAATACGCCGACGACTGCGCCGTCGTTGCGCAGTCTGAGGAGGATCTACAACTGACCTTGAGTTGCCTCTCAGATGCGTACCAGTGCCTTAGTCTGTCCCTCAACATCGAGAAGACGAATATACTCTACCAACCAGCACCAGGTCAACCAACCACCCGCTAAACATCACCATCAATGGACAGGATCTGGAGATCGTCGAACACTTTGCATACCTTGGCAATCACCTCTAGCAGAAGGCCAACATCGACGAGAAGATCCAGCACAGGATAAAATCCGCGAGTGCTGCCTTCGGGAGACTGAGTCGCCGTATGTTCAACGATCGAGACATCAGGACCACAACGAAGCTCCTCGTGTACAATGCCGTTGTCATTCCCACACTGCTCTACAGCAGTGGAACTTGGGTGACCTACCGAATTCACATGAAATGTTTGGAGCGGCAGCGCCAGCGCAGCCTCCGGAAGATTCTTCGAATCAAATGGGAAGACCGCCGCACGACTGCTAGTGTCCTCGCGGAATCAAGCATTGAAGCGATGATCATCAACCATCAACTACAGTAGTCCGGCCACTGTGTGCGCATGTCCAACGAACGTCTCCCAAAGCAAATCCCCCACAGTCAACTCAGGCAAGGCCCGAGAACCAATGGGAACCAAAGGACACTCTCCAAACATGCCTCAAGTCAAGCGATACCGACACCACGAGCTGGGAAGAACAAGCCCAGAACAGATACCTATAGAGACAACTTGTGAAAAATGGTGTGTCTCTTTTCGAAGAGAATCGCCTCGCCCTGGAGGCAGAAAAACGGCAAAGAAGGAAGGAGAAGGAAAAAGACCGAGAACATCGTGGCCTAATCCTCCCCTTGAGCGCCATTTGCAACATCTGCAATAGGACTTGTGGCTCGAGGACTGGCCACCAAACCCTATGGAAGACATCATCCTCGACCTCGAGGGATCGCCGACGACGAGGTGCGCTAAAAGGAATGAGATTTCAGGGCTATCAAAGCAGCATTACAACGGAGACGAGAGCGCTGCTGGCGGTTCCAAAATACGAGTACCAACAATGCTTCCAACGAGTGAAGAATTGCTGGAGAATTTGTGTTGATCCCATAGATGAGGGGCTACTTCGAAAGAGAGCCATCAGTGACTGGAAATAGCACAGTTCCATTAAAAATTCAGTAATGGAAATTTTTGATCGGATTTCTTATTCCTAATGATGACCCGATTTAGGGAGCGCATGTTGACCTCAACAAAAATACGAATGCATGCTTTATACTCCGTCCAGTTAGGGGGGATCAATGATGTGTGATACGGCCACAAGGGAGATTTTTAAAATTCGATCGGTTCTGACAAGTGGCCAGTATGAAAAGGGAATTTCTTTCAGGTTTTTCCTCTAGACAAACTTAGAGGTACTTGGCTACCAATTTTCCAAGAAAACCAAACACGCAGTATCCTCCAAAGGAACTGTGGTTTGATTTTCTTGGAATTTATTCATTTTATGTACACCGAGAGTAATTTGAAGATCCTGCTTTCATTGTCAGGAGGTCTTTAATGTTTGCTTGAAGCGCGCGCATTTTGCATAAGCACACTCGCTCCTGCAGAGACGCTTCGAACTTCTTGATCAAGTCAACTGACTCTCGCCTTCATTCCCTTTCTCTGCCAAATGGCACGTGAGCTTCTCCGTGGCGCTAAATGGCCTTAAAGAAAGGTAATAAGATACACGGAACAACTAGGTCAACATTCGGATGATCGTTTTCACACTATTGAAACTCCAAAGATGTGACCTTGACAACCAAGCAAAGGGTCAATTCGGGGATTAGGAAGGGGGAGTGGAAAAGGAAGCGAGAGGGAGGAAAGGAGGGAGACTAGAAGACAGGGAAATGAAGAGGAAGAAAATCTACTTGCAATCCTTCTTCCTGTTATCAGGCCGAATTAAATAGTGGCCGGCATAGAGAGGGTCTGCAAATCCTCGGCCGTTGGCCGCGTTAAACGGGTGGCCGTATAAAACAGGTTATTTCAACATTGAGCCTATGGAGCAAACGATTGGGACTGAGCATTCATGGCGATAAATGGGAGGTGGCCGTAATAGCAGAGTGATCGAATCCACAGGTTTCACTGTATGAGACAATTGAAATGCTGGAGCCTTCAGCATTACAAATTTTCCCGAGAATATTGGAATGGCAAGTCATTGCAGATTCTGTGACTATTCCCTTGTGTTTCTTGCATTGCTTCGTTTAGCATTGCACAGTCCTCAAGCTCTATGATGCAAAGTGTGTAATGCCAAGTACTATGGAATATATCATTACACGTTTTAAGAGGACAGGGAATGTCCCATATTTCAATTTAATATGGTGGTTTGGAAATAGCCTTTGGCGTTTGCCTTGTTTATCATGCACCTTCATCAAAATGGACTTCGGGCCACATCTTTGCAGTGCCTCGTGAACCAATGAATTCCGTGCAGAATATCTACATAACTAACATCGACACACTAATGCTGATAGAAATAAAATCGACATATAAATACTTCGACAGAAATAGAACGAAACGTAATAGCTTTGACAATTTGCCCTCAGATTTATACCGACACGGAACAACCTCGAATGTAACAGCACCGACACGGAATTACCTTGAGAGTATTTCTCCGTGCCGAGTTATCTCTGTCTCGACACTGCTCCTGTCGTCATCATTCCGTCGTTCTTCAGCTGTCGAAGCAGTTCTGTGTCGACGTCATTCCGTGACATCCTAGTGGCTGCCTCTTCCGGTACTACCTTGAGGAGGAGGTTAAATTCCTTTGTGAGCAAAAAAAGGGGAGCAATAGATGTGAGGGAATAGGCATTGGGTGGGATATGTAATAGATGAATAGGCCTATATATACTCCTCCCCCAGCAAAAAAGTCTTTAGAAGGGTTAGTCTATCTTAGGATTTGGCACGCACCACCTCGACAAGGGATGAGCACGATGAGCACATTCCTATGTATTAAATATTTAAAATGTCGACCAATGCGACTCACTTTTTTCTCTTTCCGCAGTACCCTAGTTGTTCAAGTCTGGAATAGGAACATCACGGAATTAGAATTTACCAAGTGTTGAGAATGTGTCCGATTCAAAGATAAGCTGAGAGTGCTGGAGGGGAAAATTTTAAAATACTTTTGTATAATTTCAGGAAAAACGAACATCAAGGTGATGGATGGAGTTCACGAGAATATTCCGGAGAACCTTCAAGGGATATATAATTTCCTTGATAAAAACGGAAAGGATAAGCATGTTCTGTTTGACGAAGTCCCTCTCACTCTGGGATTTGAGGGTCCCCTTGATGAGAAGAGACTCACAAAACACTGGAAGGACATCCTTTTCAAAAGTTTAGTGAAAAGCCTTACACTTGCATTCCGCCCGAATGATGAAACTTATACGACGGAAATTGATCTAAAAAATGTCAAGATCGCAGGTGTCGGTTTGAAGATCTTGCATGTTGTGAAAAGAAACACTATACGTGTGTCCGACTTATTCCTGGCCCTTGGCAACTACGAGCGTAGGATTTTTTTATGCCAGGAACCTAGTCTTCGGGACATGAAATTCCCCGAACTTGTTGAATGTAAGAATGTGGTACCCAGGATATCACCCATCCTTCCATGTTCCACACTTCATGATAATTGCCAAATCAAGTCCTGTTGGGCAATCAGATCTTCCTACGTCTTACTATCAATGCTCGAAGGAAGTAACGAAAGAAAGGAAGACACAACGAAACCTCGGCAGTCATTATATGCCCTTGTAGACACCATCGAAAGAAGAAATTGGCTGGTGAATACCCTCAAATATGTATATGAGAGGGAAGTCGGATTTGTGGACTCTCTTGGAAGATTACGCGGTACATCATCTAACAATTTTGTAGTTGTGACATCTGATCAGGTTTTAGGGTGGTATCCAAAGGAAGTTATCGTCATTCTGGATCTTCTTGGGTCCAAATGGAGGAACTACCTTCGCATGATGTATTCATGCCAAAAGAACATCGTCATTGCCATGGAATTTGATGTTTCAAAAATAGGAAAGTATTTTGAGATATACAAGGAGACGTTGAAAGAACCAGAAATTGTCACGGAGATCAAGGAAATGCTGCTGAAGAAACTTGAGAAAGGAAAGGATATGGAGCGCCAGAGAAGTATGGAAGAGCTGAATGAAGCAGAATGGGATCTTTATCCCCTCAGTGAACAGAATGAGCATGAAGCCAATGACGAACATATTCCCATTGAAAGTTATCCCAAC